ATAAGGGAAAAATGTGGCCTCCTGACACGTTTTGGTCCCATTATGTTTGCCACCAATCCTTTGCAAACCATTTTCGTTTTTTCATCTCCTTGGAATGGTCAAATTGTACATCTTTGAAAACTTGTGCTCAACAAAATTTGTAATGGTGACGGGTTTGAATTCCCTCTCCCGTAAGAATTGTCCTTTTAGCTTTTTGTCTCCTCGTTGAAATTGGTAAAGCAATAACTAGAAATAAGTGCCGCCATTGGAAAGGAAAATAATTTCAAAGTCCATGAAAAAAAAAAAATTATTTTTTTGAATACAACTGACTTTTCAAATAATTTTTAAATAATTGGACACAAATCTCAAATAAAAAAATGTATATTAAGAAAATATAAATTTGTATCTAAAATAAATCACAAGAAAAAAGCTAAAATAATAAATAATGAGTTAAGATAACATAAGTATTGGTTGGAATAAATTGAATATTCAAGAAACTAAAAGGGTATAAACATGTTTGTAAAGCAAAATATTTTATAAATTAAATATAATTGGAATTGAAATAATGGTATAAACTAGAAATATAAATGAATGGGAGATAGATATACAATCGTAGTTAAGTGTATTTAAGAAAGTTAATTGAATTTCAATGAATGGGAGATAGATATACAATCGTAATTAAGTGTATTTAAGAAAGTTAATTGAATTTTGAGTCAAACATGTTGTTAACAAGAGTTATTATGATGTATTTGTGATTGTTAAATGAAAACCATGATGCTATAAAAAAATCACTAATGATTAATGAAAATATATTAAATTTGAATCAAGTATAGATTAATGTATCTATTAAAAAAAAGTGAGTGAAATTGGTTCTTTTTATATCATTAATAATTGTTAGTAACCTTGATGACACAAATATTTATTGTGAGTTTCATGATTTTGTATAGTTTATAGGTATTATTTTTAGGATATCATAAATCTTTATTAAGCATTATTGAGTTACTTAATTTTTTTATATTAAATAGGTTTTAGTATTGTCCAGCAAATGTTAATAAATAAATTTTATGTAAATAAATTGGAAAGTAATGTATCCATACAAAAATGTAAATTGAGGTTGTTTACCAATACATTTCTTAATGAAATTGTTAGATATTGAGTTAAAACAATTCTTATAGTTGTATATAAAAATGATACCTCTAATTTTCGTGTATAAGACAATTAAGAAGAAGAAAATCATACTTAAAATACAGGGTGTTACACGTAAAAATCTAATCATCATTCTCATAATCCTCTTGTCACGTAACAATACCAATCTAATGATCTTTATGCTTCAGTCTAACATGCTATTTCAAATTCAACAATTGATCATCCATCTCTTCAACATGTTTCTATTACACTGCTCATACAAATTTGACATCTTTCTCCACTACGACGTATACTAACCAAATCACAAACAAACTTGTTGAAACCTATTACTTTAATTATTGGCATGATAAAGTATCTTATTCTAAAGGCTCTATTTATTAAGGTAGGCTCTATTACTGAACCATCTTGTTTCACCTAAGTGTTAAAGGTTGTTGATTGAAAACATGTAATGAACATTGAGTTCAATGCCTTAATCTCCACTACTATATGTAATTTTATACAACATCATAGCTTCTACAATCTTATTGGCAATAAATAGGTATATCAAATAAAATATTGTGTAATTGACATCATAAAAAGATATAAAGCTTGATTTATTGTCAAGAGTTACCACCAATAATAGGTTGTTGATTTTATAAATACATTCAGCCTTGTCATGAAGCAAAATAAGATCAGAATTTTGCCCTCTCTTGCTATAACTAACTGGTGGCCTATATGATAGGTTCATATTTATAATGTCTTTCTTCATTATATTCTTAATGAAGAACTATACGTGTAGTAACCACAAGATTTTATTCATCTAGATTCTTCAAATCATGTGTAATACCTTAAAAAAGCTTATATGGTCTTCATTAAGCTCTTAGAGCTTGTTTCTCTTATCTTACTGAATCTTTATAATTTTATGGTTTTCAAGGTTCCAAGATAGATACTTTTCTATACATTCTTTGTAATGATAACCAATATTTACTTGTTTTGATTTATGTTGATGACATTATCATTACTGGTTTAAATTATAATGCTATTGCTTGACTTATTCGTTGACTGTCACTTCATTTTCCTGTTAAAGACTTGGGTCACTTATAATTTTTTCTTAGAGTGAAAACTATACAAGATGAAAAAGATCTTATTCTCAAATAGAAAAAGTACATTAATGTCTTTCCATGTAAAGTCAAGCTAAATAAAGTTAAACCATGTGCCATCTCTTTGTTCACCCCATGTAATTTTTTCAAATTTGAGGGATATGTCTTTAAAGATCCTTAATTGTATTAAAGCATTGTTAGTGTTCTCAACTATCTCAGCTTCACAAGGTCAAATATTGCTTGTAGTGTACATCAAGTAAGTAAATATATACACAAGCCTCGAGTTCCATATTGTTATGCTATAAAACATTGATATGCTATAAAAAGGATCCTTAAATATCTTGAAGATACAATTTTGTTTGGCCTATGAATTATAAGTCAATCTAATTATTCTCTTTATGGTTATAGTGATGTTAATTAGGTAGGGGATATTGATAATTGTCTTAGTGTTGGTTTTTATTGTGTATTTCATGGAAAAAACCTCATTTCATAGAGCTACAAACAGATACTTGTAGCAGTTCCAAGTTAGAGTATAAATCATCATCCAACATAGCAGTTGAAATTCAATAGCTTTAGTCCTTATTGTCCATCATTTATTTTTTATTACTTAAAGGCCTGTTTGAGATTATGGTAGCGATTCTGGTTCAAAGTGATTTTCACTTAGAAATGTATTAAAAAGATTTTTTTAATTGTTAAAAAATTATTTTTAAAATCAGCACATCAAAACAACTTGAAAATAAAATAAAAAACAATTTAGTAATTTTTTTTGTAATTTAAAGAAATGCGGTTGAAACCATGTTCCCAAACAGAGCCTAAGTATCCATCTCTTTGGTGTGACAATTTTGGAGCAATATACTTGTCTACCAATCCTTTTCCATCTATGAACAAAACATATTAAAATTGATTTTCATTATGTTCAAGATCAATTTCTTCAAAAAAAAAGCTTATAGTATCTTTCTTGTCTACATGAGATCATGAGATCAATTGGCAGATTTTCTTACAAAACTATTGGTTGCTGCTCGTTTTCATTTGTTATGAAACAACCTTCATTGCAGGAGCTACCCATTTGGCTGAGGGGGCATATTGAAGGATTTGAATCTCCCAAAAATAATATAGCAGATAATGACAAAGTTGATTTTGTCGATATACCGAGCCAAGTCAAGTTCTTAGACAAACATCAGCATCTCAATTCTCTACTGATAGTGCTGCAGATATGGAGACCAAGAATCAAGTTGTTAACTATATATCAAGCAACAGTAAAGAAGCAACGTTACCTGGAGGAACTCTGAAAATTTGTAGTTTTTCTAATCTCATCAAACATGTGTCTTATGTTATATGAACTGCATGATATACAAGTTCTATTTTTACATGTCAAAGGTCAATAAAAAAGGAACACGATTTTCATTCTGTCAAATGTTTGCTTCTACACTTCTAAACAAATCTTACAGGTGGCCAGTGAACTTTTTTTGAAATTTGAACATAAAAATCATGGTCTTGCTAGATCATAGGATTTGTTTTTTCCTAGTGATATGAGATGGGTGGAAGAATTAAAAAATATGACCATTTCAACTCTCTTGTTGTCCATCTGAAGTTCCCAAAGGGTTTTTTCAAATAAATGACCAATGCTTATTTTTATGCTGTAACTTACAATTAAGCACATGGTGGCTGATTAATTTGGTGAAAGACAAGAACATGCTACCTAATATCATAGTCTTGCACATGTCACGCTGGGTTATTGCGAACACATAGTCATCATCTCTTGCAATCACATAACTAATCGCAATAATTTATTTACTTTGTTGGCAAAGTAGTATGAATTTATGGTGAAATATGCGTGAAGGGTCATATGTTTAGACATGAATATTTGCAAATGATAACAATATAGGTTATTTAGCCATGAAACTAATCTTCGTATCTGTACACGAAAGAGAGAATGTTGGGAACAGATTATAATTACCTACGATCCAGTTGATTTTGAGGAGTGTGTGTGTGTGTGTATATATTATAAGACTCGATACCCATTTTATCTGGAAAAAGCACCTCCTGCTACAAGTTGTGTTCCTACTTAGGAATATGCCTAATGACTTGGCAATCTAAACCCAATAAATTAATGAATCTGTGAACTTGTCAAAGTCGAGACTAAGTAGTATTATATTCAAGGCATCTGCTCGTTGGTCTAGAGTTATAGGATTTTGAAGAGTTCCAGATGCTATTTATATAACCATTCATTTAACCTTGCATATCGTAGCAGATTAAGCATGGTCGTTTCTTAATTATATGTGTGAACAGGGGATTTGTTGTTGTGTCATTTTCACGTGCAGGGAAGGTATATTTAGGACTAGTCTTATCTAGAAACTAGTGGCAGCCATACCCGTTCAACGAACTGAAAAGGAATATATGGCGTTGGAGCTTGACTTGCAGGGTTAAAACAAAGAATTAATCAGATTGCTACCTTTGTATATAGCCCAACAGAGCTAGCTTGAAATTGAAACATAACTTTCATGATATATCATGTTGTTTGTTTCAAAGCTTATGTGTTTTTTAGCAGGACATCTACCTATCTATAATAAGAGAAAAGCAAGTCCTTCTGGGCATTTGAGAATTAACAAGGATATAACATAATTACCCCCACCACAAGTGGAATTTGAGAAAATGAAGTTGACATGGCTATATCTTATTGGGTAGGTGGACCTAGAAGAAAAGGACTTTTACCCAATAACAAGCCAGATTACGACTACAGGATGGCTAGAATAGGATTTGGACCCTTGTATATGCATGCGTCATGTGGACTTGGTTATCCAAGCAACTTGTCTATACCATTGTTAGAGGGTGGAAGCTAGCATTCTCATTGTCTTTTCCTCTCTGGTTCGCCTATATATATATATATATATATATAAATATATCTCGATTTTGGAGTGTTCACGAGAAAGAGGTGATTGTGTGGCTTGTGGAGGAAATGGAGAGAGGTTATATGCTTCTGCTGGTGGTTTTGATCATCGCCATAGGAAGGGGAGAGGGACAACTAGTGGAAAACTTCTACAGCTCTAGCTGTCCTAACGTGGAAGGTATAGTGAGGCAGGCTGTTTCCACAAAGTTCAGGCAGACATTCACCACAATCCCAGCAACTCTTCGTCTGTTTTTTCATGACTGCTTTGTGACGGTACTATATTGATCGTTCTTTTTGTTACTGCATATGCACTCATCAATTATTCATTCTTCACATCCATGAATTCCTGCTACTGATCATAATGCCTTTTAACTGCATGCCCAAGTCCTATAAATGATCATCATGGAGCGTAGCTCAACAAGCAATACATAAAACTGGATGTTAGGAGGGAAGTGATCTTCTTTGATTGGACAAGGAGTAGTTTTGGTTGTGTTTTTGTTTCTTATCTTTTCCTCCCTGGATATATGAATATGCTTTTGGTTTCTGGGCTGTTGGGTTATGTATGGGAAATTATTGGTCACGATTGTAGGTTAGTATATGAAAGCCGATACAGCCATTGAATAAAAAACTAACAGAAACAAACACAAGGTATTACATAGGCATGTATTATTTTTCAACAACTGCATTGATTTGGAACCAACAATCTTAGCAAATCAAGACCCGCTTGAAAGAGCAGTAAATAATGCATCGCTTGTGACCGCCAGACACACCCTAAGGGTGCCGGTCAAATATGTATTTGTTATTGACTCTCGTTAATCTCATTGATGGAATTTAGGCATTTTTGTCGACGGTCACCATGATATCATGTATGGAAAGTCTATTGTACCCTCAGTCATCATTTCATGGTGAACTGTTGAATGGTTTGTCCCAAAATATAGACAATCACACCTTAAACTATTGGCTTTCAATATTGCGATCACTTCTATATTTGTTTTGTTTTTGCTCTATACAGGAGGCCTAATGGTAATTAATAATCAGGAAAAATTAACTGGATTGTCGCATGTTGCAACATTTCTCTCAATTCCTTAAACAAACTAGGAATATTAGTGGTTGAATGCCTTCTCTGTTTTGGTCCCTGAATTACAATCTGCACATTCTTTCACGATCCCAGTATGAAAATAACTTAAAACCACTTTAAATGATTAGGGGACATTTTGAATTGATTTTGAGCGATATACTGCTTGACTTTTATGCTCATAAAGCGTGGACTATGTATAAATTGCTTAATCCTATCTGAAATCATAGGGTTGTGATGCTTCCACCATGGTTTCTTCACCAAATGGAGACGCAGAGAAGGACGCTCCAGACAATCTTTCTCTAGCAGGAGATGGATTCGATACCGTAGTGAAGGCAAAACAAGCAGTGGAAGCAGCTTGCCCCAAAGTAGTCTCCTGTGCAGACATTTTAGCTTTAGCTGCTAGGGATGTTGTTGTCCTGGTAAGAAATTCACAAGTTCTTAATTATAGTATTTCTATCTCGAAGGAGAAACTAACTTAACCTCTGGGTTTGATATGATCAAAACTCAGGCTGGAGGTCCTTCATTCAACGTAGAATTAGGACGTCGTGATGGCATGGTTTCTCAAGCGTCACTTGTGAAAGGAAATTTACCAGAGCCCGACTTCAATCTTTCTCAACTTAACGCTATGTTTGCTAGGAACAACCTTAACCAGATTGATATGATTGCACTATCAGGAGCCCACACACTAGGCTTCTCCCACTGCAACCGCTTTGCGAAGAGACTCTACTCATTTTCCTCATCCTCTCCCGTTGACCCTTCTCTAGACGCAGAGTATGCCCAGCAGTTGATGAATGCCTGTCCTAGGAACGTGGACCCCAGCATAGCCATTGACATGGACCCTGTAACCTCACGAACCTTTGACAATGTGTATTTCCAAAATCTGGTTTCTGGTAAAGGATTGTTCACTTCAGATGAGGTGCTGTTTAGCGATCCAGCTTCTCAGCCAACCGTCAATGATTTTGCTAAGAACTCGGGCAATTTTAATGGAGCTTTTGCGACTGCTATGAGAAAGCTTGGAAGGGTGGGAGTTAAGACAGGTAGCCAAGGAAGGATCAGGACAGACTGTACAGTCATTAATTCTTGAAAATTCAATCTATTGTTGGTCTAGGCTGCAAATTACTAGTTTCGAAGTCATTTTAATAATGCATCGAATCACACTTTGTTGAACATAAAAGTTCTGAAGAAATAATAAGTGCATTTTTTTTTTATTAATTACGGCAATATTTATTTTATTGGAAACTAGTTTTTGGAAAATTCTTTTTAAACTTTTTTATATTTATTTATTATTAAAAAAGTTAGTCAATGAAAAACACTTTTCAGCCAAAGAAAAATTTAACTTGGTTTCTAATAAAGTATTTTTCTAGAAAATTTAGACGGAATAAAGTATTTTTCTAGAAAATTTAGGCGGAAAACACTTTACGGAAGTTGTGAAAAATTTAAAAATATCATATTATTTGCTGATTATATCAAATTTGATCATCAAACTTTTAATTGCTATATATATTTTGTTTTGAATATTTATTTTTTAATTTTATCTTTTAAAATTTAATTTTTATATTAACTTTAGTCCTCATTTTTATAATTGTTATTTGTTTTTTTCTTATTATTTTTTTATTGAAATTTTTTATCTATCAAATTTGGTCCTCATTTTTTTGTTTGTTAATTATTTTATTTGAAATAATTTATAAAATTTTAACTATTATTATTTTAATTTCTTCATCTTTTATTTTTTTTTATTTTTTAGATTTGATCTTTATTATTTTGATTATCATTTATTTTATTTGAGATAATTTATGAATTATATTTTTTTTTCAATTTTATTCTCATTCAACCTTTTAATTTGTAAGATTTAGTCCTAATTATTTTAATAAATTTGACAAAAATAAAACATTAATAAGTTATTTTCTAGCTCATTTTCCATGACATAACCAAAAACTGGAAAATATTTTTCAACTTATTTTTCATTACACTACCAAACATCAGAAAATAATTCATTTTCTCGTAATTCACTTTAAAAAAAAAATTACTTTCCTGCAAACAAACGGGACCTAGGTTGATTCCAATTTAGATTATCACCAGATAGGTTGCCCGTGACAAAATTTCTTCGAACATTACAAAAAAAAAAAAAATTGAGTCATGTTTTTAAAATAGAAATAAAAAACTCAAGAATCAACTTATTGACTCAACTTGGTTTAATAGTAAATAAACCAAATATATATATATATAATGATCAACTTAAAAAATAAACGCTTGTCAATATCATAGAAAATTATCCTCTTAATATTTAATAATAAAACAAGAATTAAACGAGAATATGATAAACTAAGAGAAGCAAGAAGAAAAAAACAATTCAAAGCTCAATTCTTAACAAATAAAGTATTGAATGATGAAATTCAAAGAGAAAATCAAATAAAAAAAACAAAAAGTTGACTCGAGTTTACTCAAATTAGTCTACCAAACACATGACTTAGTTATGAGGTCGGAATAATCTCGTACAAGTCAAATTGAATTAAACAACGAAGCTCCAATCACATATAACATAATATTGAATGGTGAAATTGAAAAAAAAAATCCTAAAAAAACAAGAAAAAAAATTTAAGTCAACTTGGGTTAACTATTTAAAACATCAACTTAGGATATGAGATTAAGATAACTCCATAAAAAGAAAAGTAAAAACAATCATGAAGCCTAGTCCCCACCTAACATAATGTTAAATGATAAAATTAGATAAAAAAAATGATTTCAAAAGAGGACTAAATAAAAGATCGAAGTCAACTTAGACATCAAAGTCAACTCGAGCTAATTTGCAAAACTAATGACCCAGGTTATTAGGCTAGGACTAACAAAACAAAATAAATAGCAATAAAAAAAGGATCAAATTTGATATAGAAATAAAATGAAATAAAATGCTTAAGGTTAAAATTAAAAAAGATTCAATAAAAAAGAATAAACATCAATAAAAAAAAATGAGAACTAAATCTAATATAAAAATAAATAAAAATCAATAAAAAAAAATAAGAACTAAATCTAATATAAAAATAAATAAAACTAAATGTTAAGGGATAAAATTGAATATAAAAATCAATTAAAAAAAATCCAAAAAAAAATATATATAGCAATTAAAAGAAAAATAACCAAATTAAATACAAAAAATAAATAATAGGACATCTCTCAGATTTGGTATGGTAGTGCGATTTCCAATGAGATGAGAGAGGAAAAAATGGAAGAGAAGAAAAAAATCTCGTCAAAGCCCAACTAAAATGCTATCAGTAACACAAGTTATACCATTGAAAAATGAATAGTGAGAGGCTTTGAAAACGGATATAAAAGCTATCTTTTGGCCATTTGAAGGCATCGTGTGTGACGTCTGAAGATTGTAGTAGTCTCCAACATGGTGGTGCTAACTAATTTTTATTTTTAAAATATATTTTATATTTATTAAAATATCAAATTTCCCCTTATTCAACATAATTCTTACTAAAAAGAAAAAGTTTTTTTAAAAAATCCCTTGATTGCCAATTAAATAAAAATGCGCTTCCAAAGATAATTTGGTTATTTTATTATGCTTTTTAAATATGGGAAGACCTACTTGCCCTTAAAATCAAAATAAAAAAGATAATCTCTTTTCTTTCATAGTAAAATGAGAAATGAATATATAATTTCATAACCTCCAAGTCAAGTTAAACTACTTATTGGTTGTACATTAATGGGTTCAAGAAAAATAGCCCTTGCCTATTCTATTACTATTCAGGTCCAAAGTGATAGTTTATAGGATCTTTTACCTCTACATATGCTTTACAATACAATGTTATTTCTTGGATTCAATTTTAGCCACTAACTTTTAACATGATTGGTCCTTAACATTTATAGATGAGGTGATTGTTAGGGTATATGTCTTGTAATCAATTAGATGGTTGTATGTGGCATTCATTTTTTTCATCCAAGAATTTAATGTTATTTTCCGGATCTAATTTTCACCACCAACCTTCAACATGATTAGTCCCTGACATTAAAAGATGAGGGACTATTGGTGTATATGTTATATAATCAATGGATTGATTACATATGATATTTATTTTATTCATTTAAACATATTTAATACTTAAGAAAGGCTTATTTATCTTTAATATTAATCAAATACTTTATTAATGAATTTAATATTTGATTAATTAATTTAAAGTAAAGATAAAGTCATAGTGATAAAAAAATATTTTGCAAGGAAAATATAAAGTTGTTATAATTATGAGATTTTTATTGCATCAAAACATTGTTTTTAAATGTTCCTAGCTAATACTCTATCAGGATTAAACATTAATTAGAGTTGTTGAGACTAATACATATTATGTTTTTTTATTTATGAAATGTATGAGAAATACAAAATTAATATATAAATACTTATTAGAAAAAATTCACTGAACTGACTCGTATGACAATTCTATATGGAGAAATCACATGTGTCTATAGAAAAGCTCATGTGATAATTGTGTAAGTTATGCTTAGACTAAAGATTACCAAGTTATCTTATATATATATATATAATGCTATGCTTTGATGCTACTACACGTTGTCATAATTAAGGGTAATAAACAAGTAGAAATTGGATATAACAAGAACTATATAAAGGTATTTGAATAATCAATAGAGAATTTATCACCCTCAGTGAATTAAAAAATATATATTTGATATGTTCTAAAATAGTATTGATTGTAAAATAAGATTTGAAAATATTTTAAAATCTTATTCAAATAATCAATAAATATGATATCAAGAACAAACACGATTTGACAGAGTAAATATACTTCATATTATAATATCTAAATAGAACATTAATAATGAAGGGATAATAATTACACTAAGAAACTAGTTACCAAAAGGTTAGAGTCATGTTTGTTTTTGCGTTTTAAAAGCCCCTTTCCAAAAATTTGAATTGTTTTCGTATTTTTAGATTGTTTTTTATGTGTTGATGTCAAAAATAAATTTTATAAAATAAACTTATAAGATTATGACAAGTTGTTGGACATTATACTTGAACTTCAAATATAAATTAATTAATTATTTAATTAATAATAAATTAATTAATTTAATCCTATTTTATTTAAGATTATGATTTATATTTGAGACAATTTACTAGAAAACCTAATGGGTTACACACATAAGAACCATTGGTCATAAATTAAAATGAAATGATTAATTAAGTGTAACTTGATTATAAATAAATTTTAGAAATTAAGGACTAGACTATAATTTATATAAAAAATTACAATTCTAGATCTAAAAAAATTAAACAGAAACTTGATTAAATAAAATTTTAAAATTGTTTTGAAATAATATATGTAATATTATTTAAAGAATAAATTAATATTTTAATATTTATAGGTTTTCATGTTTCTCTATAAATTGAATGTTATGACTACATAAGTCACAGAACTCTTGAAAAACATAAAAGAAAAAAGTTAACATTTAAAGGTATAGAAATCTCTCTATTAAAAGAATTTAGAACAATTCTCACCAGTGGTTTATGTGGATTACATTTAGAGATCAGATATTTTTACGGCTTGTGATGTGCGATAATTAAGCCTTGAAGTAATTATTCGAAGCCAAAAAAACATATTTAACTTCAGGTAATCTTTATATAAACTCTAAACAACTCTAAATTTATTTAATATGATTTTTAAAATTCTAAAAATGAAATAAATTTATTCATTTTATTGTATATATATATTTTGAAAAATACAATATATGCATGAGAGAAAAATCATACTATTACAAAAAAATATCAAAGTAGTTGCAGTGTTATGTAGCAAGCAAGCCACATGTTTGACTAGGTTAGCTATTAAATTCTGTATATATATCTTATCTAATCCTATAAACCATAAAATTACTGACTAGATAAATCTTCAATAACTTTTAAATTTATAAAACTTAAATAAATAATTTTTAAAAAACAAATCTAAAATTTGATTAATTAAACTATATCCATGAGGCTCATTTGCCAACATTTTCAATCCATCAGGAAGGTTGTCACGTCCTTGATATTCCAAGTGTAGTGATATATGAATTAATATGATGCGCGACTATAGTATTTAGTTACTAGTTTTTGTGATTCTAATGTGCCTTGCGCTTTCAGAGATTAAGAGTTGAAACAACACTCGTAAACAGGCATATTAACACTGGTATAGCTTCAAGGATTTGACTGTACATGCGGAATGTCTTATCCAGATCTAGTTGAACTACAAGAGTTCATGGGTCAATTGGTAAATCAGAGAAAATAACATAGAATCCATTAGAAATATTATAGTACTTGAGAGTTTCCTGTCGTGTACTTGACTCTGCCGGCTCTCTGGCAATGTGTTGCCACGAACATGAAGAAATCCATCAAAACCTTGGTCTGAATACACAAACACTATCATAAAAATGGAAGTCAACTGCGTGATTTTCCATAGAGGTTTGCATAGACAATCCTAGTTCGATGCACAAGAATCATGCTCAAGACAACAGCAACAACGCAAAATCCTGACATGATCATAGAAGTAAGGAAGAAGCATATAGAACCTTCACACTTTGAAGGTTCATTCAGACCCAACATGCCTGAAAAAAATGAGCCTCCATTGTGAATGTGGTAATTGTTTCCATGATCTTGCCTTTCAGCTTCACGGTCATATATGCTACTTGCAATTAGACCAGAAAAGACAAGTGAACCTGCGGGATTTGCCAGCGTAAGGAAATTGTACAAAGCCCCGAATTTTTTCAAACCAAACAACTCGGAGGCAGCAGCTGGCACAATTGCCCAATGAGCTCCATAGCCGAGTCCAATCAACAGGGTACCAATATACATCGCTCCGGGCCATCCAAATGCAAAGAAGACATGCCCAACTGCCATAACAAGTTGAGCAATGGCCATTGCCACTGGCCTTGGATAAGCATAGTCCCTGGTGATATTAGTTAGACAATGGATAAGAATGAGTCGATCAAAATCTGCATTAAAATCCATCCAGCATTTAGGAGAATACGAAATTAGTTTTTACCTGACAATAATCTCAGAGAAGCAACCCCCACGAACACGGCCAAGGAAGTTCCAAATGCTAATCAGAGACACAAATATATGTGGATTATCATACCCTAGAGACTGGCTCATCTGACCAAGGTTATCAATCACTGTCAGTCCAGAACCAGATCCCAATAGAAGTGAGAAAAAGATAAGCCAAAAGTCTGCCTTGATCAATGCTTGCATCAAGGTGAAATCCTCATCCCTGTGTGGACCTCTCCTCCTCTTAACCCTCACTGCTCCTTCCGCAGCTGCGTGGAACAGTTTTGCTTGCAGTTGTGCAATTCGTTTTTGTCTCTCTGATGCTGGTAACAAATCTACTTCCTTGGGTTTTTCATCTTCAACCTCGCTGAATATTAACTCAGGGATCTCCTGCCCCGATTTGCCAGGTTCTTGTTTCGGTGGCTCGGGTAGAAGGGGCTCTTCTGCTGGACCTCTTGGATCAAGGAAAAAACTCAATGACACAGGAATCACAATAGGAATCAAAAGGAGGACAAATAAAACTATTGTAAAAATTACAACCAAAATGCGACGCAAATCAACTAGATCTTCAAGAAGCATAACCCCCATCAAGTATGCAGCTAGTAGAAGGCAGACACTATATACAAGTGTAAAACCTGTTCCATCTGATGGTCGAACTTGTCTGTGACCTCCAACTGGTCTGACAATGAACATTAGAGCAATGACTACCATTGCAGGCCCAACTGCAACCATAAAAATGAGAGATGCATGATCAGGGGAATGGATCATTGTATACATTTGGGTCAAAATTGCACCACTTAATCCTGCAAAGCCTTTTTGTATTCCCACAACAGGACCACGGCTCTTTGGAAAGTTTTGCACACAAGAAACTAGAGCAGCAGTGTTGATGTAGGTTTAGCCATTGTTCCCCATAAATATAAGAATGCACATCTGCATAGGGATACAAATTAGGTTGTATATATTTGGGTCGAAATTGCACCACTTAACCCCGCAAGGTACTGTAAAGTTTCAATAAATCCTTGGACCAAAAGAGCATGCACATGAGAAGATGAAAGAACACATTAGGCAAAAGTTACTGTGGCAGACAGGAATAGCAGAAGCGATTGTGGCAGCAAGAATGTATCAGCCTGATTCCAAAGAATATATTCCTATCTCAAACCACATACAATATAAAAACACCTATTAGAAGCATAGCGATTCCAGTCAAACCAATATCACTAAGTTCAGTGTTATTTAAAGCACTCACGTTTTTTCTTCCAATATGACATTTTCATTTTGTCTTGGATTTCTATGTGAAATAACTCCTCCTAGATCATCAGTCATGTCTTCTCTCTACTTCAATTCTCATCATCATACCATCCTTTCCTAAGAAATGAGATACGACAGAAACACATATTCTGTTAAACATATTAATGCGATGATCATTAAGCTGGTCCAAAACATGGAGAAGCCGGTTCAACTTCAAATTCTACAGTAAATCTGTGATTTCTATAAGACATTTTTCCAAAAGGTATTGAGATCACATTTATATATGTTTTCCAAGAGAGCAATTGATTTCATAAAATAGAAGACCCAAGAAAGATACCTTCAGACTGGGAGAGGGGGGATTAAAAAAAAAAAGATAGCAATCTGTTGGTTTCGAAAGTTTAGCAGCCTATAAGCATGACTGATTGAACCACCGCTTGCGTTTTGGTTTGGCAACAACTAATCGCCAACAAATGCCATGATACTTCCTGTTAAACAGATTCAATAAATTTATATTTTGGCAGCGCACACAAGTTTCCAGGTCTATAGGTTATATGTATTTTGCATAATTTGGTCCCACAAATCAAAATTCCAGATGATAGTTGAGAGCATAAAAGAATATACCACCAAATCCATTAAAATCACACCATAAATTGTAAAAAAGCAAAACATCCTCCCTTAGAACATGTCATTTTGTCAATTCAATGATCGATAGATTTATTGAAAGAATCACAGAAATTTATCAGACAATCAAGGTAAAAAAAGACCAAGGGGGAAAGACATTTTCAACTTTAATTCTAAACCCTTTAATATCTTATAGACCACTATCATGCACGAGCCATTACGAAAAAGAAAAACATAAAACCAAAAAGAAGGGAGAGGAAGGATCCAATGTTGTAGAACTTCATCAAATATCAGAAATCTCTGTGAGACCAATTTGAACAAATGAAACATAAAAAGTAAAAAGGAACGGGGAGAAAAGAAAAGGCTTGCAGTTCCTTTGATAACAGGATTTCCAATAACAACAAGGATAAAGTCAAAACCAATAGAGATCAAACGTACAAAATCCCCACCCACAACAATCCACCATATGAGTCAAAATTATATGCACAAACAGAAGTAGAAGAAATTGAACGTCGGAGATCCATTTCCAGCTAAATTAAGTATAAAAAAGTTCTAACCATCTAGATGGTAGCCAAGTGGTAAGAACTTGAAATTAAGGGGTTTACTCCCCCTGTGGTCTTAGGTTCGAGTCCTTAGTTGCTCATATGATGGTCATTGGAGGTTTACATGGTCGTTAACTTCAGAACTCGTGGGATTAGTCGTAGTACGCGCAAGCTAGCCCGGACACCCACGTTAATATAAAAAAATATAAAAAAGTTCCTAATTTAGTACAAAGGGACCAACCAAATCATCAACTTTAAGGCCAAATCAGATGACAAATCACAATAAAAGCGAAAAGATCAATACATACTCACAGCCCATAATAGCAAAACAGGAGCTCTACCTATTACCACAAGCCAAACCCAACCATATCAAACAAGATTATGCAAAGCACCAACTAACAAAGCACCCCATAAAGGCAAGATTTCTGATAAACTACCGGCGAAGAAACCAACACTATCACCAAGATCTTTAGCAACACCTAAACTTGCAAGCTGCCTTTGATTGTAGTTCAATGAGCTCTTTATAACAGGTGATATACTACTAAATAAATAACCAATTCCTGCACATGATTGTATTCACATTGCAGCCATAAAAACTAGCCATCTATTATTGATATACCTAGAAAATCTATCTGGTAACTTTTCCATCATCACTAAAACAACAACATGTTAAGCTCAGTGATTAGTACTTAAAAGTGCATTCAGAAAATCTATCTGGTAACTTTTCCATCTCACTAAAACAACAACATGTTAAGCTCAATGATTAGTACTTAAAAGTGCATTTTTTTTATTAAGGTTTTATATCATCATTTTGCACTTGAAGTATCAATAACTGCTTAACTAAAGCATGTTTTATAATAATATATCTAATAATATAAGATACCTTTAATTTGTGGTAAATGTTCATTTTAAATGCAGGCCTATCACATAAATGAAAGGATTGATTGATGAATTTAAGAACTGAAATTGAAAGGATAAAGAGATGGCCAAACTTAGAAAAGAGATGCCGGTGCAATCCAAACCGGAACACTGTTCGGTAAATGGGTCATATCTGGAGCTATATATCTCAGATTTAGGTCCAATTTATATGGATGGAAAGGTAAGACATAGGCCTACAACTTTCATATGGAGCCCAAGATCTAAAAAGGCCATTATCAAGTCCAAATTGTAGCAACAACAAAGAAGCCCGAATCTGTCTTCCAGCCCGAGCACTGTTCGGTATTTTGGCCATATCTGGAGTTCTAGAAGTCCAAATGAGCTGAATGTTTTACACAAGAAAGCTGAGACAATTGCCTACAACTTTCATGTTTGCAACTGGCTCCAATTTTGACGTTATCAATGACGTTTTGGGCAGACAAGAGAAGATAAGGATTGTCACCAAGTCAAAAGTTGGTCACCCACTTATCAATTAGTCATCAAATCAATAGTTCCCATTTTTGGCCTATAAAAGGAGGCATTTGCCATGCATTTAGGCATCTTGGTGTCCAGATCAAGATCATGCTCTTCCTTTCTCTCTTTGTATTTTTTATGCTTTGTTTTCATTAATATTAAGTTTATGCCTTTCATTTCCTTTCCTTTACTTAGTTAACTTTTATGTTCTTATTTTGTTTATCTATTTTGCTTTCTTTCATTATGTCTAGCTAAGTTAATTATGTCAAGGTGAAAAGGTTACACTAATGGTGTAAGAATAAGTATAATGTAAACTTAATATGGACTTTAATGTTTGATACTAACATGTTTTATATTTGCTATCTTGTTCACTCTTTAATACTTTGCTTGTTAAATGACTAATCTTGATTTATGTTGTATAACACTTGGTACAACAAATGCTTGGCACTTTCATAGCCCATAATGTATGGTATAACCGACACCTGAGCTATGAAAGGAACTTGATTTGTTGTTAACATAAGTTATAATCATGAATGCTTGACGAGATTTACAAGTATTAGCATTAATTGAATAAGATGACTAATGTAATCATGTTAACAATATATAATCTGATTGGAACCTCCTTTGTGTGTGGTTTCCAATTCAATAATAAGAGTTTATACTATACTTGTTTGATATACCATTAGTGGAACCTCTAACCTTGACATTTGTTATTATCATTGTTTAATCGTTACATTAATATTCCATCTCAAAGTTCTCATCATCTTCTTCTTCTTCTCTTTCTTTATTATTATTATTATTACTACTACTACTACTACTACTACTACTACTACTACTACTACTACTACTACTACTACTACTACTACTACTACTACTACTGAAGATATCAAGCTTAATGAGAATAAGAAAAAAAATAGAAAGAAGAATAGAGGAATGAGAAGTTCTGTTATTATTTTTTGTATGTCCTTTACGTAAACTTCACTGGCTATTTATACTATCCTCCTTATGCTTAACTCATTTATTTCATGGTTAACCAACTCCTAACTCACTCTAACGGCCTCACACGAGTGCCTCACGCAATCCTTTTGCAGCTATAATCTAGTTATAACAATACTCCCTCCTTGAATGCATTCTTGTCCCAAGAATGCTAATATGTGTCTGCCAAGAGAGGTGCGATGCATTTTGGAAATTGTTGTTGTAGATCCTCTAGGTCTTTCCATATAGCATCTTCGGGATAAAGGTTGTACCATTGAATCAACCCTGCTATTACTGCCCGGTTGTCCTTCTTCATCATCTTCTTGTCCAATATGGCTATTGGCATAATTTGCATCCATCCTTCTTTGTCTGTCATTGGTAACTTAGAAGAAACAATTGCTGCATCACCAATCTTTTTCTTAAGCAAGGATACATGGAACACTGGATGTACTAAACTTCCTTCTATCAATCTCAACTCATAAGCCACTAACCCGATTCTACGAATTATTAGATATGGTCAATAATATCGGGGGTTGAGTTTAAGATTCCTTCTTAATACCACACTATTTTTTTTTATAAGGTTAAAGCTTAAGGAAAATCAAATCCCCAATCGAAAACTCCTCATCTGACCTGTGCTTATCAGCCATTTGTTTCATCTGATGCCTTGCTGCTTCGAGATGCTTTTTCATTACAAGATCCATGTTGGCCTTGCGTTGTAACACATCTTCCACTATAGCCAATGGTGTCTATTCTTAAGCAATTCACTCTCTTTATGGAGGAACATAGCCACAAAGGGCTTGGAAAGGACTCATCCCTAAGGTAGAATGATAACTGGAATTATACCACCATTGTGCCAGCGATAACTAATGAAACCAGTGTTTTGGTTGATGCATGGTCATGCAACGAAGATATGTTTCCAAACATTGATTTACCCTCTTAGTCTGCCCATTTGTTTGTGGGTGGTAAGCCGTGCTCATCAACATTTGAACCCCTAACTTTTTTGGATAATTCCTTCCAAAAAATACTAGTAAAGATCTTGTCCCTATTAGTGATAATCACAGCTGGTAGTCCATGAAACTTGTAGAAATGATCAAGGAATAGCTGTGCAATATCTTGTGCTGTGTAGGGATGACTGAGTGCGATGAAATGTCCATATTTAGTAAATCTATCCACGACCACCATAATAGCATTCTTTCTATGATGATGGCTTCCCATGTTCCATTAGGAATCGGTAATGGTTGTAACAAGCCTGGATAAGCTACTCTCTCTGCCTTAGCTTGCTTACAAACATCACACTCTTCCACTATTCTTTTCACAATTGCCTTCATCCCTGACCAATAGAAGTTGGCCTTTAGCCTCTTGAATGTGTTTTGTATGCCTGTATTCCCTTCTACATAAGAATCATGGATGGATTTAAGCAATCTAGCTCTGAGTTCCCCCTTTTGTCCCACCACTATTCTGCCTTTGTATCTTAACATCCCTTCTGTATAAGTGTAATCCATATCTTTTGTGTTCTCCATCATTTTGTCTAAGATAATGGTCTGTAACTTATGATCCTTGTCATAAGATGTGTGCACCTCCTCATACCAAGCTGGTAGTATACTAGTTAGTGCATCTAACTCCCCAACAACAATGATTGATGCATTATTGTGGTGCTTCCTGGACAGTGCATCGGCAACAATGTTCTCATTACCCTTTTTGTATAATATGGTATAATGCAACCCCAACAACTTTGTCATGCCTTTCTTATGAATTGTCGTATGAATCTTCTGATCTAGTAGAGACTTTAAGCTCTCATGATTCGTCTGTATGATAAATTGCTCCTGCTTTAAATAATGTCTCCATTTCTCCACAATCATGAGGATGGCCAAGTATTTGTTTTTCATAGATGGATAATCCTATATGTTTTGGACTTAAGGCTTTGCTGAAATAAGTTATGGGATGACATTCTTGGCTTAAGACTGCCCCCAATCCAGAATCACAAGCATTGGTCTCCAAGACAAATGTCTTAGAGAAGTCGGGTAGAGCTAGGACTGGTGCCTCAAACAAGGTTTTCTTCAAATGATCGAAAGATTGTTGAGATTGATCATTCCACCCAAAATTATTCTTCTTCAGAAAGTCTGTGAGGGGGCTGACAACTTCAAAATATCGGATGAACTTCCTATAATACCCCGCCAATCCAAAAAATCCCCTTAATTCTTTCAAAACTTGTGGAATAGGCTAATTGTTAATGGTTTCAATCTTCTTCCAGTCGGTTACTACTCTTTTATAGAAATTACGTGCCTTAGGTATTCCACTTATTGTTCCCCGAATGTATATTTAGATCGCTTAGCCAGAAGTTGATTATCACCTAGAGTTTCCGAAATCTGCTGGAGGTGGATAAGGTGCCTCTTAAATATTGGGTTGTAAATGAGTATGTTGTCAAAAAAACCAGCACAAACCTGCGCAAATATGGCTTCAGTATGCTATTCATTAATGCCTGGAAGGTGGTCGAAGCATTAGTAAGGCCGAAGGGCATGACCCTGAACTCATAATACCCATGATGTGTCCTGAATGTTGTCTTCTCAATGTCTTCCTTGTGCATCCTAACCTGATGGTAGCCTGACCTCAGGTCCAGTTTGGAGAAGAATTTTGAGCTATATAATTTGTCTAGAAGGTCATCAATAAGAGGAATGGAGAATTTATTTTCAATGGTTTGCTCATTGAGTTGCCTATAGTCAATACAGAATCTCTATGTATTGTCTTTCTTCTTAACAGCAGCACAGGGGATACAAAAAGACTAACACTATGCTGAATCATGCTATTAGAGATCATTTCCTTCACCAGTTTCTCTATTTCTCCTTTTTGAATGAATGAGCTTTTGTAAGGCCTAATGTTAATAGGCTATGACCCTAGTTTCAGAGGTATCTTCTGATCGAATCGCCTTGCTAGAGGCAAGGCTCGCATCTTTTCAAAGATACCATCAAATTCGATCAACAGAGATTTAATCTTAGCCCTTGTTTCGGTTGGCTTATCTTCCCCTTCATTATCCATTGCAAAGAACTTGCCTACCAGCCTACCAATCACATCCTTGAAGCTTCTCTATTCCTTAAGGGTGTTTCTCATCTGTAATTTAGCCCCCTATGAAATGCCTTTTAGCTCAATCATCCTGCCATCTTTTTTAAATGACAGTCGCAATTTGATGAAATTAAATAGTACTGGTGAATTCTTCTTCAGCTAGTCAACCCCAAGCACTATATCATGCCTACTGATTAGTACTTAAAAATGTATTTTTTATCAAGGTTTTATGTCATCATTTTGCACTTGAAGTATCAATAACTCCTTAATTAAAGCATGTTTTATAATAACATATCTAATAATATAAGATACCTTTAATTTATGGTAAATGTTCATTTTAAATGCAG